GTTGGGGGGGAGCTTATTTCATTTTTATATTTTACTAGTTTGGGTACCTGGCAGTGCCTGGGTTATTTGAAAAAGGCATTGTTTGTTTGGAGGTGTTAGGTAATATCCTTTAGTAAATAAGCAACACTATTTATTAGGAAAAAAGCCAGTCTTTGATTCCATTTTTTAATGAATTTCCCCATTACAAAATACACAACAATGTGGGTGAACTACAGTTCCCAGAATCATGGGTCAGTCTTCCCCAGACCAGGCTTGTATGCATAGATGGTCATGTTGGGTCTGTGTGCCAAGTTTGGTCCAGATCTGACATTGGCTGGAATTAGTACTCTCTGGCTAAGGGTGAACTACAACTCCCATATGCCAAGGGCAGTCACTCCCAATCCCTGCCAGTATGTACAGTTGGTCATGTTGGGTCTGTGTGCCAAATTTGGTCCAGATCCAACGTTGGCTGGGTTCAGTGCTCTCTGGATGCAGGTGAACCACAACTCCTATAAATCAAGGTCAATTCCCCCCCCCCTGTCATGGGGGTTCTGCATGCCAAATGTGATCCAGATCTATTATTGAAAGGGGTCACAGTGCTCTGCCTTAATGCAGGGTGAACTACAACCCACCCTGTTGAGTCAGTCCTAAACCCCTCCAGTCTATTCAGTTGCTGATCAATTCCTCTCTGTTTGCTGGGTAGGAAAGGATTAAGGGAGAGGCAGTGGGTGGGGTAATGCAAATTCCAGACCAATGGAGAGAGAAAGGAATCCTGGGGTGCCTGCCTGTGGTGGAGGAAACACCTAATATCTAGGATGAAAATGTCCCTGAATGAAAGCATTCCTTGGATGGTGGGCCATAGTGTTTGTGGAGGACATTCGCAGGGTTTGGGTTACATGTTCATGGTGCTCATTATAACCTACAATATCAGTGGAAGGAGTGCCTTTGGAGACTTCTCAGCACTTGGAACTATAGCCTGTTTGTGGAGGCTGGGGGCTGTCTGTGTAAGTGGACACCTCCACCACATACACACATTTTTCACTTTTATTATGTGTATAGAACAGGGGTCCTCAAACTTTTTAAACAGAGGGCCAGATCACAGTCCCTCAAACTGTTGGAGGGCCGGATTATAATTTGAAAAAAAATTAAAGAATTCCTATGCACACTGCACATATCTTATTTGTAATGCAAAAACACTTAAAAACAATACAATAATTAAAATGAAGAACAATTTAAACAAATATATGAACTTATTAGTATTTCAATGGGAAGTGTGGACCTGCTTTTGGCTGATGAGATAGGATTGTGGTTATTGTGTGCTTTCAGAATTTCGTTTCGGGGGGGGGGCTAATTTTTTTCAGGGGGGGTTCGGGGGGGGCTGAGTTTCGGGGGGGCTGAGTCTGAGTGAAAGAGGGTCTAGCCTAGCAAACCTTTTGTATCATTACCCCAATACCCCCATGCATATGGGATATATTGAGTATGGTGATCAGATCATGATATGAATAAACATAAGTTTAAATAATGCACCAGTAAGGCCTTTTCGCGAACCACCATGAGAATTTAGGGGGGGGGGCTGAAGCCCCTCAAGCCCCCCCCCCTGGCTACATGCCTGGTTGTGTATTTTCAAGTAATTTCAAACTTAGGTTGACCCAGCGCGAGGGCCGGGTAAATGACCTCGGGCCTTAGTTTGAGGACCCCTGGTATAGAAGATGGATTTTAAAAACTTGCAAGCCTTCTAGAAGACATATGCCTAAAATCAATTGTTAGCTCCAACTCGAGTAAACCCACTGAATTAATATCAACAACCCTGGATGGAGACTGCCAGTGAGTACCAGGTGTTGCAGGTTCTAGCAAAACCACTTCTGAGTATTTCTTATCTAAGAAAACTCTAGGAAATTCATGAGTTTGCCATATGTTGATAGGCACAAATACAACCTGACACTTACGTCAGTTCCACTAGTTCAATAGATATGCACTAGTTGGGATTAATAATTGGATTTGGTCAATTGTTACTGGGTACCATTGCAAATGCTGTAAATAAAAATGAATATGAATGTTGCCATGGCAGTGGAATTGCTGCACTATAATTGGGTTGTATGAAAAGGCCCCTGGAGACCAACAAGCAGATGGGGTTCTGGTGCTAAATAGTTTAATGGATTAATTGGTTAGATTAATCAACCAATTGGATTTTAATTGCTATTGATGAAAGGAATATATTTTTATTCATGTCCCAGCCATTAAAGTAATCCCAAACACTCAAGAAACTCCCATCAAAAAGAGGAAAAAAATCAGCGTCGAAATTCCTATATAGTTTGTTGTCGTCATCATTGTAATCCCACAAATCATTTCTGATTTAGGGTGACCCTATTACAGGGTTTTCTTGGCAAAATTTGTTCAGAGGAGGTTTGTCTTTGGCTTCCTCAGAGAATGAGACAGTGTGGCGTGCCTAAGGTCACCAATAGGTTTCCATGGCCAAGCGAATATTCATGTTCTCCAGAGCTAATGCTCAAAACATTACATCATCCCACCTATTATGAAGGTTTTGAGAAATTATTCTGTTGTAGAAATATACACAATTTCTGCATGCATTACATGCAAGCCTGATAGAGAAAAATATGTATTTGCCTACCCACAATGAAATAATGAGACAAAACAACTGAGTTGGGATAACTATGGGCAATTCTATGTGTTACCTATTCAAACTTTTTCATGGACTCAACCAGCTAAAAGTGGATGTTTGAGTTTGATGTTGTATAAGCCAAGGCAGTGGCCATCTCAAACCCACTCCTCAGCACATAACTCACCTGAGTCGTAACCAGGGCAACTCTTGTGAAACTGTATAGAGAATTCCAACCTCCAGTTGTGAGTCTTCCAGGATTAGAACTCCCAACACAACTCCAAGACCATTTCTGTTCACTTACAGGTGAAGGTTCTCATTCCTGGCCTTCACCAAAATGGGTGCCATAGGTGTAGAAGTACAAACCATTCCTGCATGCATTACATAGAGAAAAATATTTATATCTCTAATTGTCATATTTCATTTTTTACGATACATCAGTACCAGAAGGATGCCAGTTTATCTGCTGTCACTGTTTTCACATGATTCGAAGAAGCAAATTGTAGTTTGATGAAATAATTTGCTTGTTATCAGCATTCTGTTGAACTTGTTCCGTATTATGACTGGGCTATGACAGATAAAGGGAAAACAATAGAAGGAATTGATTCCAGTTTGGATAATGGTCAAATAAATTCACACCAGCCAATAGACATGGATGTGGATATTCTTTTGTGCTTGAGATCTTTAATGGAAGGCTCTTAAGCATAACTATCAAAATCATTGATATTTGGGTCAGCATTTGTTTAATTTTTATTTAACTATGTCCCAGATAGATTCCACTGAAATTTTTGCCTTTGTCCCAGTTATCATTTTAGGTCCAGGTCATTGCATTATGAATGCAGTTACAGCACTTTTCTTGTCAAAATTTTGCATACAGAAGTTTTTTTGAAAGAACAAATAGCTCTTCACCTTTTAACAAATAGTTCTTTCAAAATGTGACTTCACAGGAAAAGTAGTGTTGGCTGGAAAACTTTTTGAACTTTTACTTATAGCAAAGTTTGGGGGGGGGCGCAATGGATTGGAGTGTAAGTGCCATATAGATACCTCGGTTTGTTCCATTTGGGGTTTTTTAAACAGAATTTTCTGATTTATATATTTATATAAACAACTCTTCATTTAAATTGTTAGCAATTCCCCAAACAATTTGGTTTTCATGGACTGTGGATGTACAGTATTTATACCAGGCATGGGCAAACTTTCTAACTTGGGGGCTGCATGACAGGTCAGAGCGGGCTGGGTGGGCTGGGAGGGAGGGGGTTCTCCCTAAGTCCCATCCTTGCCCTTTCCTCCCTTTCCTCTTCTCTTTTGGAGGCAGAAAGTGAAGGAAAGATGGAAAATGTTTGGATCCCAAAAAGGTTAGCCTTGGTCAGAATGAGATGATGGATGGAAGAGAAAAAGTATATCCATTAGTGGGTTGTTGTAGGTTTTTTCGGGCTATATGGCCATGTTCTAGAGGCATTCTCTCCATGGCTATACATGGCCATATAGCCCGAAAACACCTACAACAACCCAGTGATTCTGACCATGAAAGCCTTCGACAAT